ATCGTTACTTTTTGCCCACAAATAAAAACCCAGCGAAGCGGGTCCTTGCAGCTAGTATTATATAAAGAATAATATTTATCAGAACACATTTAAATTACTGATTTACGTAAGAGATAAAGACAAAATTTTATATTTTCTGAATCATTTATAGTTAAATCTATAAATATATTTTAAAATATACTGTACATCATTAGGATGTATTATTGAATATTTATTCAAATGTGTATGTAAAGTTGTATAATTTGTTCACATACTCCACAGTTGTCACAGCTCCAATTTACACTAACACCGCCGATCACTGGTTGTGGGTTCGTGCATGACCAACAAGCTTGTCACGTTCTGTTTTCCAGGTTTTTTCCACGTGTTTAGTAGTCATTCCCGGTTACGGTTTCTCATTCCCTGTCTTTTGCCTGTCCCGGGATTCCGGGATAAAAGTGAACTGTTTCCCGGGTCAAAATTAATTATTTTTAAGATATACAAAATATCATGAAATCAAATGATATAAGTATTTTTCGTTTTTTAAATTAAATTAATACGTTCTGTAACCTCCAAAATCATATTAATAACTCTGTGTAAGGTATATATAAAAAATTACCTTTGAATTACGTAGAAATTTTCACAAATAGAAAAAATTTATTAAAGTTTGCTGATAACTGCTTATAGCAACAACAACAACAACAACAACAACAATAACAGCAACAAAAAATTCTTTGAATTGAGTTAAAAATTTAAAAAAATGAACTTAGATCAAACTTCTAAGTTAAAAGGTAATTTTCGTTTTTTAAATAAAATATAATACAAAATATTGTAAATTTTTATAAGATTTTAAAAAGCAAAGATGGTCAATACTCCGATCACTCAATCTAATTCTTATTTTAGTAATGAAAAGTCTTGCTACCGAGAATGCCCTTTCCGTTTTAATTGATGTGAGTGGAATCATGTTTATTGCATTTAAGAGAAGACAAATATTATGTGTTTTTCATCTGTATCCTGAAAGATTTCTAGCTCGTTATCGAGATTGTAGTACTTCTTTTGTTCTCTAGTATTCTTGATTTATCTACCTCGACTGCTTTAATAGAAATATCATAGCCCAATAATTCGGCAGTTCGTTTGTCTTTAATAATCAGGTTATGAAGAAAAACTTCATACTTGCAAACTTCGTTAAATTGAAGTGACGAAAATTGCATGATTTTTTAGAAAATTTGTTTGTTTATTGGAAATATCAAATATGGAAGCTGTTTTATATACTTCCGTAAACGCCTTGAACAAAAATATACAGATTTTACAGAGAGTTACGCTTTTTCATAATATAACATTGCTACGGGATTTGACAATAGATTGCTTTAACACTATATATACTACAACAACAAACATTTATAAAAAGCAAAATGATTAACAACATTTTGAAAACAATATATTACATCTGAATTTAATGATAAGAAATAATAATAGTAATAATAAAATTTAAACAATTAACAAATATAGAAATAATTTTATAAACAATATTTAAATTGATAACTTATATACAATTATTAAAAAATATTGCATAAGTAATTTAACAATAATCATAATAATGTTGCATCTTATTGATATGGAATGATACTGACCAAGCAAAGGAATGATTATTTCATTCCAAAAAATTTTTTGGCATCAATATTATATATTTATGTATAGAGTTCCATTTGTTGTTAAAAACTTTTTAAGAATAAATTTATATCAGCTTTGCACATGTAAACTGTTGGTTTAAAATCAACACAAAATGCAGTTTAAAGCTCAATGGAATTGATGGAATATCTTAAATTTTCATTATGAGATCAAATATTCAAAAATCACTAAATATAAAAATATTCCAGAAATATTTTTTTTTTATTTTTCCTCATTTCTTCTTCAAAATGGATGAAAAAAGTATTTTAACAAATATTTTTTTATTTAAAAAATATTTTAATATTTTGAAAAATATATACTGTATATACACATGTGTACTGTATGTAGATATCTCAAATAAATGTATTAATTATCTAGACAATCTGTTGTTATCATAATATTTTGCAAAAGTTTTAATCGTTATTTTAACAATAATAATATATGTAATCTTCTTATACCATTATACCTCTGAAAGACTCGAATGAAAAATACATTCATATTTCAATACTACTTATAAACTAGGTTTATAAGGAAACAAAAATCTTTTGCTTAATCCACACTGTATAGATGTTGGATTAATATAGTTCATACAGATAATTCTAACACATTTACTATATTTTATACAATATACATAGAATTGAACACACATTTGTTCTTGCATTAAAACATTTTTAATAATTAATGTTCATGGTTTTGATTTAAGGCTATTTTGGGTGAGGCACTGAGATTATGGTCTTCAGACAAATTTCCTTTAATTTAAAATTAGTCTTGATATATATTTTTAAATTTGTTTTTGATTTAGACTAATAAATATAATTTTTACATTAAATTGATCATTAAAATTTGTTACAACATATTTTCCAACAATACTAATATAGTTCACAACATTTATCATATCTATTATATGATACGTACACATTTTATATTTCGTATGCATATGTAGGGGATTCAATACCATAAGTTTATTATTTATAATGCATTCAAGGGAAATTGGAATTTTGAAATATTTTCTTGTATAAACTGAGAGACAAAAACTGGCCTGTCTCTTTAATCCGAATAAAAATAATCTCGGTAGACTATCACACAGCCATCAGGTTAGGTACTTCTTTTATTATATTTCCATATGCATTTCGGGCTTATTTAATTTATAAGCCCCTCTTCAGTGCAATTCAAACAAGGGGACTCCCTGCCTTTTGTTTATTTAGTTATGGCAACGCAACACTTGGGTGATCTGCCTAGCGGGATGCTTTCCGGGAGGTCTTTTTTTTTAAGAGAAACCGGCTCTTATTTAGGTATTGAAGACGTGGAGAAAACCCGGACGTACAGCCCGTTCGAACGAGGAGAGAACTCACACCGCACTCTCAGTGTTCAGAGTACGAAGACCGCTTGGCCACTAGTGAGCCGTTTTTTAGAAAGAAATAAGCACAATCACAGTTAATGAGTACTGTACATTTGAGATACACAAACTTTACACACGTGTGTAACTCAACTCTGGTTAAACTGACATTTGGGAACCTGCTTTTTTCTTATTGCAAAATACGTTTCTAAAGCTGTAAATATCATTTAAAAATATATTAGCCGGGAAATAAACATACTTTTAAAAATTCACGAAAGAATTCTTCTTTGAACCTAATTGTAGATGATGGAGACTTATACAGTTATGTCCGAAGGAGAATTCTTTTGTGTATACTTTAAAACTAGATATCATGTTTGATATTAATTAATAAAGTGAGGACCAAACATCGGTCGTCACTTTTCGTCGGTTCGCACAGAAAAAATGTTTATTTATACATCGGTCCTTACAAGTGAGTTTTGACAACAGGCACACATACACACTTACATGCACCCATATATATAGGAAAAAAATCCGATTTTTTCACTTCTCGACGTTTCACGGAGCCGAGTCCAAAAATGTAACAATATTGAGAGTGAATAATTTTTTCACGATTTCCATACTTTCCCTCTGTTATATATAACAGAGCCTGGAAAGAAATATAGTTTATATTTACACGTTTAGTCGATAAGTTTATAGTTATAAACCGTGTTTTGTTGAAATTATAATAAAATATTGAACTAAATTTATTTAAAATGTGAAGTGGAACAGAGTGATGGAATAAGGCACGATTAATCTACCAGAGGAAACTGCCACCGGGAATAACTACTAGACACGTGGAAAAAACCCTGGAAAACAAAATGTGGCAAGCTTGTTGGTCATACGTGAATCCATAACCAGTGATCGGCGCTGTTAGTGAAAATTGGAGCTGTGACAACTGTGGAGTATGTGAACAAATTATACAACTTATATATACATTTAAATAAATATTCAATAATACATCCTAATGTTGTGCAGCATATTTAAAAATAAATTTATAGATTTAACTATAAACAAGTAAAACAGCAAAACCGTATTTGGAACAAGACTATGTCTCGGAGAATCACTACTAAGCGGAATCTCTTTGACGCTCGTTTTCATTCTCCAATCTTCTTTGGTATCGCTGCTTTTGGGTGCGATCGTTCCAACGTTGCTGGCCATAACCACAAGATCGTTCATGATGTATTTTCAATGAAATTAACCTATCCAATTTCGAAATTTTTCTCCGTTGCGTATTGGCCCCGGTTGAATTTTTGTCGATGCGTAACGAAAATTTCCCGTTTTTGAAAAAAATAATCGTGGCTATTGTATCGTCCGAATTTTTTTTTATTTTGCACAAATAATATACAGTTTAACCCGATTATTACGTCATCGGATGTAACGACAACTCTAATATAACGTCATATTTTTATCGGTCCTACGATTTTACTATACTAGATAATGTTAAAAAACCCACTTGTAACGACACCCTGTTTTAATGTCGTATTTGAAGCACTCCCAAATTTACAAAATTAGATTACAAATTTTATTTAATTAACATAGAAGAAACTATGTGTACAATCCTATGGTCAGAGTTCACTTCTTAGAATGACTGTGGGTGCTCTCTTCCCCACCTGACTTCGGTGCGGTGAGGTGGCTGTTTTGCCAGTTTGTAGAAGAGAGTCGCCATTTTGGATTTTACTTTGACTCAGTTCTCGGTCCCCCCGACTACCTGTCTGGATTTTTTATGCACAAATGATTTGGACACCTAATACTCTGTGCCAAATATCAACTCTTCACATGTACTCCTTCATACCTCTATGCTGGTAATAAAAAACGGAAGTACGATTTTATGAACAAGACATAGTCTTATCAATGATTCAGAAAATATAAAATTTTGTCTTTATCTCTTACGTAAATCAGTAATTTAAATGTGTTCTGATGAATATTATCATTTATATCATATAAAATAGATGTAAAGATTGACTAAATTTATTTTCAATTAATTTACTCTTTTAATAGCCTACTACATTCTTACTTCAGATGTGAATATAAATAAAAATAAACGAATTTTTAATTTAGTTTAACGTTTGATGCTGCAAATTTTCCTGCTAATTTTCAATTGAATTCTTACGAATTATCATCTCTTCTTAAAATTATTATATCATTTATTAAATTTTAAATATTTCACTGAAATCAGACAATGATATTTTTAGATTCCTAAAAACTAACTCCGACAGTAAAGTAAAAGTTATCGATTGTTTCCTCATTAGGAACTTCTCCAAAATTTGAATTTTCATAAAAATAATCTATTTCGTTTTTTGCCATTACATCTCCTTCTATCACAGAGGGGTCCGATATCTTCACTGTGAAGCGAGCTGTCGAATCTCGTTTCAAGAATATAGTATCCACACAGGCATGGCCTACACTATTACAATTCAGAATTTGGTTTTGTATGGGGCAATTTCTACTTTCCAAGTAACCACAGAATAAAAGATCTATACCGCCTGTTTTAGAATGGTAAATTGGTAATTCAACATCAAGTACGTAAGTGTCTTCTTTCACAAATATTTCACAAGTAAATGTTGTTTCGTTTGTGATAATGAAATTTCTTCTGTTTTGGAAAAAATGCCGATGTTGAAAAGAGTATAAATTTTCGCAGAAAGCCAACCTTCTTGGATTTCGTTCCTGACAAAGAGTTTCTGGGCAATTCGATAAGACCCCCGTTGTATAAAAGGTTAGAAGGGAATCCTTCTCTTCTGGTGTTAAACAATCGAGTATGTTGTTAAATGTTTTGTCTGTCAGATCTTCAATTTCAAGTACAAGGAATCTGAACTTCGGAATGAATGGATCTATTACAGATCTTAGCTGGGCTAAAAATACTTCTCTATTAGATTCTTCTGAATCGGTGATTCGTCTCTTGGCCCAATTATAAACACCTATTATTAAAAGGAATTCATCTATATTTTTGTAACATGGACGGGAAATAAGTTTCATGATCGTACTCTCTTTACAATCCAAAAACTCATCAAGTTCAATTAAATCTTCCCACACTTCCTCGAATTTTCCCAAACAATAAAACTGTATTACGTGGTCATCGACAGAAACAGCAAATTCGTATATACGACAAATGTTCTTAACATTAAGTAATTCTACCATAAAATGCTGACACTTCATTCTAAGTCCTGATAAATTGAACTGATTGGAAATTAAATATATTTCAAAGGCGTTGTCCAAATTTTCTAACTCAGGATCCATTTGTTCTATGAAACTAAAAAATTATAAAAGTTAAGTTTTGAACATAGTTTAATTTTTATAAATCTATCGTAATTTCACAAAAAATGCTTACTTTATAACTTGCGACATTTGTTGGCAAGTAGCATTTACAGAAAGTGAGAGTGCTTGATGCTCAGGATTGAATGCTACACGATCGTGTAGCATGGGGCAAATGCTCTCCAGGTAAGAGAGTTGTGTTACTTGATGTCCATCTGTACACTCGATAACAACTATACTGTCCATTATGATATTCTCAATGTAAACTCAAATTGATTTAAAATAGAGAGAAACAATCAATGACAAATATTGTTATGTTTTGTATTATTATGTTTGCTTTTTGTTCTTTTTAATTATTAATGATTTTACTTAAATAAACTGCTTTCTTTCTTCTAGCACTAATTAATTTTAAGTAATTTTTTATATATAAAATTATTATTAATGTCATATTTTTGTTGTATTATTATTGATTATTACAATATTTGAACAATTAAAGTTGTAATCGTTGTAAGCAATATTTCCAGAATTTCTTCAGAATTCTGGAAATTTGCTCCATCCCGAAGAATTTTTTTTTTTGTTTAAGCAGTTTGTCGTTTTATTTAAGTTCCGTTCTAGACAGATTTTATTATATATAAAATCTAGTAACTATTAATATTTCTGAAAATCTATTTAATATGGATAAATAATAATCGTAATAACAGCTGTGTGTGTGTTTATGTGTTGGCGTCTATTTCACTGAATATCTCAGGGTGGGGTTAAGATAAAGAAACGAAATTTGGCACGATAGTTTGTATATAAGGGGCATCGATGTCATTTAAGTTTGGTTTGAAAGATCGAGGGGATGGAAAGATCAGAGAGTGGGCACGTAATTTATCGCGTGAGAGGTCAGACTTAGTGTAGCTTTTACTTGTTGTTAGCATTTGCAATATTTTCAAAAATCATCTCTACCCTCAAAATTAAGTCGTTTGCCACTTTATAATAATTAAAAATATATATTCGGGGCTTAAGAGCCCGAAACGTGTAAAAATTTTCACACGTATCAACTAAATAAAGATGAGAAAACCCGCCAAGTGTCTTAATTTATAACACTTTATTGTGTTAGAAGCATAAACAAATTGTAAAGCACGGTTTCATATCATCAAAATAAAAATATATAGTTTTTATAACAAAATCTAATAATAGATGGCACTACATACAACTTTAGTAGTTTATTTTAACTAATGATACAAATGTTCTTTTTACAATAAAATCTCATAAAAGCCAGAAAACTTATGCAACTCGTTGCTAAATTTTTTATATCTCCTCATTAGCAGGCTGGTCACATGGAGTTTCCGGGTATTGTTAGACTGTTTAACACTTAAATAAAGATTAGTTTCTTATTGAAAATCGTCCCGGGAGGCAGTATCCCCATGTGCTAATTATCCTATTGATGTGTATTCTGAAACCGTGTCGTCTTTTATCTGTTTTTATCGTCACTATAGGTGCATAGATAGACACTGGGCATTTCTACATCATCTTTAATCGGAATATCCTATAGGCCGATACGCGTTTCGGGAATAAGCCCCTCATCTGTCAGCTATATAATAAAACATATCATGAATTTCTCATATTACAAAATGTTTATATTATAATAGGTTACAACATACCATGACTTCCGGGATTTCTTGTAGGTGGTGTTAACACATATACATTCCGTTTAGAATTACTTATTTACAGTTAAAATTGCTTTACTGTTAAAACACTATTAAATAAGTAATTTTAAACGGAATGTATACGTGTTAACACCACCTACAAGAAATCCCGAAAGTCATGATATGTCGTAACCTATTATAATTAAACATTTTGTAATATGAGAAATTCATAATATGTTTTATTATGTAACTGACAGATGAGGGGCTTATTCCCGAAATGCGTATCGGCCTGTAGGATATTCCGAATGAAGATGATGTAGAAATGCTCAGTGTCTATCTATGCACCTAGTCATGACGATAAAAACAAATTATCCTATTGAATTGACGGGATAAGGTAATCTGCCTTATGTCAACAACCGAATCCATTCGCACTATCAGTACAGTATGTATAGCCTATACATAAGACAGCTCAGTGGCGTACCGTAGTGGGGGTGGCAGTGGCGGCCCTTTTTAGGGGGCGGCGAAATTACCTTATAGGAGGCGGAAAATTTTCACAATAAATAATAAAATTATCTTGTAAAAATTTGAAACATCCTAATCTATACTTGCATCGCGCCTACGACAGTGCTATCGTCTGGACAGTCCGGGAATCGGCTCGCCGGGTGAACTAGTAACTTTTTCATCCGAGGAGTTACTGCGAAACCTTTTTTTTTTTTTTTTACTTATACGATTCATTCGCGTTCATATACACCACTAATATCCAATAGAACTATTTTAAACAGGTCGCTGCACTTCCACCGAATTTTTCATTGCTTGTTCTGTGACAAAACTGAATTTTGTTATTTTAAATTGAAATAACTAAATAAGGGGGGCCGAAATTTTCCTCCGCCCCGGGCGGCTGACACCCACGGTACGCTACTGAGACAGCTATAAGCAGTTTAACAATATAACAAACATTTAATAATTACGTGAAACGACAATTTATTATAACGAAGTTTAAAACATCCCGATATACAGTACAAAGAATGTTGTATTATTTTTGTTCTGTTATGAACTTAATAATTTGCCGTAAGTATAAAACAAGCTTTAAATCTAACGATATTAAGGTACTGGAAATTTACAATGAAGTGCAAAGAACCCTGATAAATATTTTCTATAAATAATCATCAATTTGCAACCGTACGTTTATAAGTTCTATTATACAGTATTTGTGATTATCTTTAAATTATAAGACTTAATTAACATCTTATAACTTATTTGTCTTATAATCTTAATTAATTAAGTATTCGTTATAGAGAGTAAAACTGGCGATTTATAATGAATATTTAACTCTTAATTTTAATTAAAATTCTTTGATACTGGATGGAATTGAAAGTTACGGCAATGATTCCGTGCGAAGTGAAAAAGTCACTGACTCAATAACTTAGTAAAGATAATTCTATATAATGTAATTGTAGAATATCATCAGATCTTCAGAAGTGTTTAAGTCGAAAAGATCAAACTATCGTTATTCCATCAAACTGTCAACACTTTACCAAAATCTGAACTAGAGGAAATAACACTAGTTCGGATCTATGTTCAAGCCACTATCTAACTAATTTGTCTTTAATATATTCTCTAATTGTGAGATCAGAAGAATATAAGTAGAGAATTTAAATTGAGTGGGAAGATCGCCCAACATTAAGGTCAGAAAGACTGATTGTTTTATACATTGGGACTTTTTAACCACTCTGTAGACCATTCTCTTTCACACTGTTACTCGTGCTACTCGTACATTAAATTAATTTTAATTAATATCAAATTAATTAAGAAAATATTGTTTGTTTTTTGTTAAGTGAATGTATGATTTAAAGCAATTATAAGTATAATAAAAATTAATTTAAATTAATTCAGTTATAAGAGATTAAATACGAAATAAATTTATTAATTTTTATTGTAATTATTAGTTAAATATAAATAACTTTCATAACATTTCATTTATTCTCGATAGAATGATTAAACTCTTTCTATTCTTATTTAATTTCTAATTCAACTTCAAAAAATAATAATAAACATACACATTAAATAAATTTATGATTACGCATCTATGTATAATTAAAAATAATAACTTTTATTTGAAAGTATTTATTCTACGCTAATATTTACTGAATTTGTAAACTATACTTTAAGTAAATTAAAGAAATATTAATTATGAATTATTTTATAACTAATAATTAATTATTGACGTAGTATTCTTTACAGTGACAATTTCTATTGTTTTTCATTGATATAAATGGGGGATTTAGTAGATATGAGGATAAAAATTGATAGTGTACAAGTACTTTAAAGTAATAGGATTTCATTTAATCCTGCATTATCACTTTAGTAGATAACTTAATGTTTTCTCACAAGAAATATCCTGTCAAGGTATACGTTAGCTGGAATACCTTTGATACAATGACTTTCTTTTTCAATCCTCTCTAACAACAGATCTCTTTTCTATTTTTCTTTTCTTTTCTTTCCTTATTAGAAAATGTAACTTGTTTACTGAAAACTTCACTACTTTTATTGATTTTTTTCTGATTTTTCTTTCCTTAATTTGATACGAAATTAAAATATCGAGTTATACATTAGCCTAACTTCCATCTGTTATTACTTATAGAATAATACTTAAACGTTATTTTCAATATTTAAAATCTAATTAAGCAACTTTTTTCATTGATATAAAACGTTGTTCTCAACGTTGATGCTTTCTCCTTCTTTCTTATAGATGTGGCTGAGTGAATAACACTGGTGATCTATAATGCATCTCACCAAAAGACTGATCAGGTGAAGTCTTCGGGATTTTTATCACATGTTTAAAAAAATTATATAAAATTAATATTCAGCAACAATACTAGAACTTTAATTAATAAACTATACAAGAAAATTTTTTATTACTTTTTACATTATAAGCGTAAATATTAAAATAAAATCAGTAAGTTATGTAATAATGTATAATTAATTTTTAAATGGCATAACATAATTATTTCTGAGAGCCAAGACAATTAAGTTCCTCTTTAATGAGGCACTTAATTGCTATCTCAAAGTTTATTATGAGTCTCTTAATTATAATTACAGTTCAAGAAATAATAGAAGGATGTTAAATATCACATTAATTAATTATAATTTTTTTGAAATTTTATTGAAGAAACATAGCATTATTTTTTTCTTGCTAATAATTTTGTGATTAACATATCGTTAGTGAAAAGAATAGAATTAGCAAAATAGCAGTTTAATAAAATTTAAAAAAAGCTCGAAATATTGACCAAAAAAAGCTTAATTTTTCCACCTTTTTTGTCCACTTTTAAACCACTGAACACTAATCGTGGGTTCGCAACACACAACGGACTGGTGACATTAGTTTTCCGGGTATTCTTCAAGTGTCTACCGCCTAAATGGGGAATCAGTTTTCTATAGATAGTTATTCGGGAGGCAGTGCTTCGTAGTCTTATTCATCAATGCAATGCTATTGTTAGAATATATAAATGTCTGCTGAAACGGATACCTCATGGGAAGACTTTTATCCTCTATTTAGATGTTACAAACGTGAAGAAAACCCGGAAAACTCCAAGTGGCCAGTCCGTCGGCCAGGCACGAACTTGCCATCAAACCGGGATTTAGTGGTTTTATACATTCGGCCACCGGTAGACTATTTTAATTTAAAATTAACACCTTTAAAACGATAAAATTA